AAATTTTATTGTAACATGTAATTTTGGTGTAAAAAATTCTTAGGATTATCTCAAAATTTATTTTCATATGTAATTATAAAAGTTTAAACTTAAAAAATGGTCAAAATCAAGTAGATCTATAAATATATGAAAATTTTGAAAATAGACAGTCTAAATATTCTTTTTTCTTTTTTTTCATATTCATACATCTCGATGTCGAGATGATCAATTAGAGGGTTTTTCAACATTAAAACAACATTCTTCAATTGATTTTTGAAGTGGATCTGTAATTCTACATTTTAAGGTTGCAACCATATATAACTTTTTTCTTGTTAAATACATTAACATCTCTTATTTTTTATAATATAATAAGCGTGCCGACATGTCTTACCGCATTAGCTTTTAAGGCAGAAGTTGTTGGGTCTATGATCCAAATTCACCCTCAATGCAGGCAGGTCGGTCCGATACGACCAGGCTCGAAAAAAATGATATGGGACCCAAACTCGAATTCATTGGACCTAGAACCTAAATATAATGTGGGACTCGAGCCCAATTGGACCCAACCCAAAAATTAAAATATCTTTGTATTTAGTTATATTTAAATATATTTCATATCAAATTAAGACCCAAAAAATATTAGCAGACTTAGACCCGGATCAGACTGAGACCTAAATAGTGTTCAGGTCCAAGATTTAGACCCAGACCCAACCCGCCGGGTCCAATTTTTGGACCCCCTCCAATCTCAGGTCTCGGGTCGGATCCATTGCCACCCCTACCTCAATGGCGCTTGGGGGCATTTTTTATCAAAATAAAATTACTTTCAGTTGGGGCTTTTAAAAGCTATTTTGTAGAGAAAATATATTGAAGAGGTGGAGTTTTATAATAAAGAGAGATTGGGCGCTCTACTCATGTATGGGCAAATCATAGGCATTGTTATGCCATTATATTGGGCTGAATTTAAAAATGTCACAATTAGTTTCTCAAAAAAAAGTATTGGGCTGAATTTATCGGTGTTCCCTTGAGGCAACGGAACTGGTCAATGTTGTCAAGGAAATGAGTCCATTTATGATGTTAATGTCGCAAGGAAAATCAATTTAAGCTTTCTTTCCCATTGTGAAGTAATCTCTATAAGACCCGAAAATGGGGTTGAGGTCATGGTGGTAATACCACTTGAGCCTCAGCTGGTTTAGTTTTCTATTCTCACTAGCGCATTCGAAAACCGCTAATTATTTCTAAAATCGGGTAGAAGCCTGTATTCCCCACTGATCTACCCAAAAAAAAAAATCTCCATAAGACCCACAAAACTTGTAATTTCTCACTCTAATACTGAATTCAACCTTGTTTATTGTACATAAATATAGCCAATTTTCGGTGAACCATGTAAATTTGGTGTGCACTTTTTTGGTTTTGTATTGTGTAGTGGTTTTAGGATTCCCATTTCATTTGCTTTTTGTTTTTATAATATTTTTCCAATCTATAGCATATATTATTGTTCGTGGGCATCTTGTTTTTTTAAATTAAAATGCTATTGACTGGTAGTTGCTTTAGAAGTGTACGTTTTGTTATTTTGGGAAACTCACCTCATCAAGTAGGAATCTAAGTTGTTCATGTCTGCCAACAATTGGTATCAAAACTCAAGGATTGTGTTACAATTTCGGGAAAATCGCAAGTCATAATGTCAAAATGTTTGATGAGAAAAAGATTTTTGAGTTAGAAACCAAAAAGGACAAGATTTATTGATACAACAAGAGCAATACAATGCATTACTTGGAAAAGATAAATGGCAACTATGACCGAAGATGATTAGGATGAACTTGATATATAAGTGTTTGAAACTACTCTCTTGTGTTTAACAAATAAAATATAGTTTAGCATTGTTGGTTGGGAACAAGGGTAAAAGAATTATAGGGAAACTCAAAAAAAATGTATCAAACAAAATCTCTCGCATACTTAACTTTCTTTTCGTATTCCTTGATGAAAGAGCATGCAAAATTGTCAAAACACTTGAATGAGTTTAAGGATATCATTTGTAAACTTGAAGGTATTGAAGTGAAAAAAGGACAAGGATAATGTAGTCATGTTACTTGATAATCTTGTCACTATATTGAGTTATAGTAAAATATAATACCATCGATTTATGCTTGGCTTGTAGAGCTCTCCTTGTTGATGAACTTTGAAAGAAATTATCTTTGCATAGTTTGGCATAATTAACGACAGAAACATTTGTGGCAAAGGGTGGATCGAATGAACAAAGTGGCCTATCAAGAAATTATTCAAGAAGCAAGTCAAAATTTGGGTGAAAGTCAAGGGTGCCTAATGACAAGAATGTATGTCAATTTTGTGAGAAGCCAAGTCATATAAGGAAAAACTATTTTGAAGGGAAAGAAGTAGATTTCTCAAAATATTCTAATGCAGGAGGTGAAAGGCAAAGAGAATCTAAGAATGAAGCTAATCAAATTGAAGAGTCGAAATCTGAATTCATCAAAAATGAAGTATTGATAATAGCTTAGAATCCTATGTTGTATAAAAATTGGATCCTTAACACTAGAATCACCCATCATGTGTGCCCACATATAACATGCTTTGTCTCATATGAGCCATATGAACAGGCAAATTGGTTGGAATGGGTTTGGTTTGTCTAAGAATATTTGATGGGATGATTTGGATGATTAAAGATGCTACACATGTGCCAAGGGAATTACTGGGAATTATACAAGTACCTCCAATCCTCAGCACAATTGTATTGTCAAGAGGATGATGAATCATACTTTGATTGAGTACACATGGTGCATGTCGAGCAATGCCAGTCTAGAACAAGAGTTAGGGGCAATAGTTGTATCAATGGCTTGCTATCTCATCAAGTCGTCACATTCGAGAGCATTGGGGAATAAAACTCCTAATGAAGTATGGTATAGAACTCCCAGTTATTACTCTGGTTTTAAAAAAAAAAAAACTTCTTATACTATTTATGCATTTATTCCAAGTTATCAAAGAAATATGTTGGATCCAAGGTCAAAGAGGTGCGTCATTGTGGGGTATAGTCAGGGTACAAAGGAATACCGATTATGGGATCCAAGTAATCAAAAAATAATAACAAGCCAAAATGTTCATTGAATGAATTTATCATATTGCCAAAAGGTATGAAGGGAGAAGACAATGATCAAGAAGTGTGAGACAAGAGTCAAGAGTTATAAAGCCACCTTGAAATACCTCTAAGTGCAACCATGCCTTTAAGGATACAGTCATTAATCTTGGTGAAGAGCATGACAAACAAGGAAATGAAGATGAATAACCAAATGTCCATTAACATATAGTTGTGCATTTTTTCCCTAAGCGCTCTACTAGAAAATCTTGTGCACCCGAGTGGCATAATGATTATATGAATCCAAATACATTGCAGTTGAAAATGAAAAACTAATATCATTTCGTGAAGCCATTAAGGGTGTATTGGATGTGCTTGGTATCAATGATAATCCACTGATAATGATAATGAGTTGTATGTTGTTTGATGGTCTCCATTATATTGTAATAAGCTTAGGTGTGTGACCATATGAGAAAGAGAGAGAGAGATATAGACATTAGGAGGTATTAATCCGCCCCTAATGCACCTATTAGTAACTAGCATATTTACATGAATTCATGACTGCACTGTGTGAATGTGTGTACAAAGTTTCATACATGTGTGCATGTATATTTATGCATACAAGGCTTTGAATTACCTTAAGTAGATGGGGAAGGAGCCACACCAAGGCTGAGAGAGCTTACATGATTTGGGTACCAATTGGATCAACAGCATAATACACAACGAGGGCTTTTCCTGTAATTGGTTGAAATTTTTGCCTCCATATCTGAAATTTTTTAGATTCATGAATTGTAATAGCATGATGCGACCTTGCAAGCCATTTGACTAAATCATAACCTGTATACTCAAATTGTAATTGAACCAGACAAATACAATACCAATCATGGTGAAAATGTGAGAGGAAAATCTCTCGTTCTCATGTGTCAATGTGTGTTCTCAATTAAAAAACATAAAATAGTTTGATAGGGCTGCAGCCCTATCAAAGTAAGTAAAGCCTGACCTCATAACTCATTAAAAATTGCAATTCAAGCATTAGAAAACCTTTACATCAATCATCTCGGCTTCAATATTATGGTTGTAAAAAAATTTGGGATTTCAAAAATAGTATATATTTTAACAAATTGTCTAGACCATCCATTTCATCCTAAATTCAATGCTCAAAGATCAGCAAGGTCTGTACATTTTTTTAGTTTCAAATTTTATTTTCGGTGTTGGAAACTGATTTCAGAGCCATTATGTTATGTTGCTTACAGTGCTTTCAAGACAAGGATTTGAGGTGAGATTTTATTTGGTTTTCATAAAGCCTATGCCTTGTAGAAACTTCATCGTTAAAAAACATAACGCTTCGGCCTTTATAGCCTTAACATAAGGCCAAGAAGCCAAAACATGTTTTCCAAGATTAAAAGAAGACGGTTTATTTATAAAATAGGGAACATATTATTTAAGGGGCCATAATCTCTTAACAAAATCATTAAGGGGTTAACATTAAAGCGTTTGCCTTTTAGTTTCAAATTCATTCAGGTATCTCCTTAAAAAATATCTTCCAAAATATGCCCAAGTTGCCCGTATTGAAAGTTTTGACTTGAGACCCTAAACAAGCAGAAGTGTTTTAGTAATTTGATCCACCTGAGATGCCCCAACCAAATAGCAAAAATATCTCAGCTTGTTTAGGGGTAAGGTCAAATTACTAAATACCCTTCCTAATAGGCATTTGTGAATATAATTTCTTAAGTGGTATTTGAGTGAAATGAAAATTAAAGAGTAAACCATCTAACAATAATTGGGATCTTTTTAACCCCTTAATGATTTCATAAAGGGTTATGGCCCCTTAAATGATATTTTTAATTATTTTAATAAGGAACTCATATATTCTGGAACATTAAAAACTTCAATGCTAATAGGAAAGCAGAACTGAAGTACGAAGAGGTTACTCACATCTTTGTACTCAAAGCTACTTGTAAACTTCTCCAAAGCATCCACTGTAGAAAGAACTTAAGGAATTATTGCCCAATGAAAACTTAGAAAACTTTTATTGCATAAAACGGAAACATAACTTACATGATGGGAACCGCATGACTGCACCATGAGTGTAGTCCCTATCATTAAGGTTGAAGTTTGAGCCTGAATTGAGAAGTTAAGAATCAAAATGTTATACCCTTACGTTCAGAGGTACATGATAAGAACAAAGAGTAAAACAGGCATATACATTCACAATATCAAAGTGCGTAGCGTTACATATGTATATATCAATGAAGAAATGACTATTACCCATATTCCCATGTAAAGGTAAATAGAAAGACCCACATACAATTCCTGGATTTTCCTTACGACTTAAAATATTTTTCTTTTCAATTCCGAGTAGCTACTAAATTTTACTTGGAAGGATTTTCTTGAATGCACAAGTCAGAAGATACTCGTATACAACTCATATATGATATATGCCAATAGGTACACAGACAGGAGATCCATTCTAAGCGTCAAAAGTTCTTGATGATGGGCATTCACTAGAGACTGTTAATCTCCCCCATCCATTGCTGAGAACGGATGGTGGATGCTTGGTTGTGTAAAATACACCATACACAAGGAATGTATGCAGTGTAGGAAAAATCAGGCAGTTCAAATTCTAACGGCCCGGTTAGCCCAGTTAATTTGAAACCACTGGCCTGTTCCGGTTTCAGCCGGTTTTGGCGAACCTGCCAGATATTTTTAAAAAAATTGAAAAAAATTATATAAAATCTCAAAAAATAAGGGATTTTGTTTGTAAAGCATTTTTTAACGTTTTTCATCATTTTGGCATAGGTTTTATTGGCCATTAATGCTGACTTTTACATTTTTTTCCATCTTTTTTGAAAAATTTCAAAATACCTCTGGGCACAAATTGATTCTTTAAAGTCTATTTTTTTATTAACTTCAACTTCATTTGGATGTGCTTTGTTTAAGCATGCTTTAAACATACTTCCATATTTTATTAGATTTTTTTTGTATTTTTTTTATTTTTTTAACACTTTTTTGACCTCCCGGGACTTGCGCAGTTAGGCCGGTTGAAGTAACTAATTTACCGCTTAAGCCGGTTGAACTACTTCTGGCCCCATGTCCGGTTAACTGTTCTGGTTCGATTTTTCCTACACTAAGTGAATGGCATACCTTCCCTTAATTTAATAAGCAGATCCACAATTTCCTTTTAGGTATCAGGCTTGGGGTTAAGTAGTTAGCAATTGATGTCAGCACCACTACATCTCAAGTTCAATTCCTAGCACTAAACTACCACAAAAAAAAAACACCAGATCTAAATTTTGAAACTAACCAAGACTAAAAAAACTCATGATGGCAAAGGATTCAGAACTGAGAGCATGTCATTGTCAATGGGCAATCAAGGGCCAATTACTAGCAAGTTCACTATGTTTACTTGCTATTTGCATCGAGATGGGATGAGAGTAATATCTGATACAAGCATGGGGTGTCAGATTCCTCATGCAAGATGATTCAACACGATGACCATCTTATGAAGAGACAACCAAATCTAACCACAATTTACTAGTATTCTATTTCATGATGATGAACAAGAGATAATCAATTATATCTTAATTGGCTGAATTCGTAGATATTTTGAAAGTCACTTTCAAAGTTAACGTGTTCACTCAAAAAAAGAAATCAAGTCTCTAAATTAATCTTATCAATGGCTAATAAATAAGAAGAATCCAAAAGAATATGAACTGGTAGGTTGTGTCCAACACAGCTATGGTACCCAAACAGAAGAACCCATATAACATAGTTTACTCTGTCCTTTGTTTTGGCTACCAGTGTGCATAAAAATAGAAGGCACAGTGTCTTCCAAGATCGAATTCAGCCAAAGTGTCAAACCTCACTATATTTTTATGTTTCCTCAGTCAAACCCCTAACAGAACCTAAACCTTATGGATACATTTTTTAGGTGGGTAATTGGATAAGACAGAGAGATATAAGGAAAATATGGAAGCTTCAAACCTACACACCTAATACAGGACATTATATAGACCACCCTAAGAAAGAATTAAGCGGATGAAAAAGAAAGATTTAAGCTGATGACAAATGTATGCACAAAATGTATCTGTGCAGGTATATAAATATGAAAGAATTGCAATCTTGCAGATGGCAAATTGACCAAAGTTTCATTTACGGCCATTAATACAGGACGCTATATAGACCACCTTAAGAAAGAATTAACCTGATGAAAAAGAAAGATTTAAGCTGATAACAAATGTATGCACAAAATGTATCTATGCAGGTAAATAAATATGAATGAATTGCAATCTTGCAGATGACAAATTGACCAAAGTTTCATACACAGCCATTAATAACATTATCATGGATGCAGATATTTTGCCTGAAACCATGGATATTTTATCTAGAGCTCACCTAGGGTAGCCTGTATAATCAAGGAACCAAAGTTATTCGTCAGGCTGAGAAGCGCAGCCAACGCCTCTTCCACAGCTTGACCTACTGCAGTGCCAAGGACTGATATCATAAGCAGAAATTCAACCCCAGATTCGAAGTCCTAGTAAAAAAAAAGGGAAGGATAAATATTAAACATGGATACAAAGAATTGAGACAGATATTAAACATGGATACAAACAAATCAAGACAAATATTAAACATGGATACAAACAAATCAAGACTATAATGAGATTTAGCAGAATGACAGCAAGAACACATAGCTGTTATGAAACTTGTCAATAGCAGGTAGAGAGGAGAGATGTTCAATGGACACCGATGTCATAGAGGAAAAAGAAACTCTTTTCTCAAGTTTATTTAACACTCATTACCTGCTAGACACAATTTGTTTCCAGATTGTGGAACATCTGAAGAATTTATTAACATGTCCTGATGATGCAAATTTGGCATCTCAGGCTTTTTTCCACCTATTTAAGATCTGTTTAATAATTGGTAATTAATTCAATTTAAGACTTTTAGTGCCCAGTGATCATTTGATTACCCAACTAGCAGCAAGTGACTATCACTGCATTGAAAATCACAATAACTAGGGAACTGAATAAACACTCAAAAAATTAAAGTGAATAATTTAAAATAAACAGACCTCTCCCTTGCGGAATATTGGTAGGATATCATCTTCCACCTCAAATTCATAATCCAAATTTATATATCCCTACAAAAAAATATCAGTAATGCATAAGCCTGAATGACTTTATCAAAAATAAAAACTTAGTTTTAGTTTCTAAGGGTTAAAAGTAATTATGAACACTTCTTACATGGCAGTAAGGCATAACATATTCTGCAAGAACTCTTAAATGGAAAGGATTTTCATAATACTCTTCAAGGCCTTCCCTTCTTTGGAAACGCATGAACACCGCATGTGTGCAGTTATCAGCATTGGGATTGATAATACGACCTGTGAAAGGGGAGATACAATTCCAAATTCCATATCAAAAACTTTAAAAAATAGGAAGGGGATCAAAAAGGGACAATACATATGCAAGCTACTTATATGAGATTCATGTAAAAGAAAGAGCATGTATGCATCACAGATTTTAATATAAGGAGAATAATCATATCAAATCTTGGACAACCACCTCAAGAGTGCAGCAATGCATGAACTAAAGAATCATCGGAAACATGGAAATTTCACCAAATGGAAAAAAATAGGTCTGTAGATGTCCAGGAAATGCCAATACCATGGGAGCATCTGTACAATAATTATTACATAAGTAATAAAGAACATATATTATAGTTATGACATACTCCATCAAAAGTAATACTTAAGAGAGTACACATATACATGCCTGTGCCCGAATATGCATTATAATGTAATATCTTTATGTACAACATATTTATGTGTCCTGTGGGAAGACCATAAATTTTTCAATAGAACAAGGGATGCACAATAATGAACAATGAATATACAACATAGATCACATATATCTTTTGTTAAATACACATAAAACGTAAAATTATTTGTATTATAATGTACCGAGAACTGAATAATTTATGTATTTAAGAAAAAGTGTCATTATAATATGAGAATGTGCCCTGATATTATTACATTGTCGTTATTGAAATATGTTGATAGTAGCGGTTAGTAGATAGATCAAAATCACAAATATTCTATTGGTGTAAGTACCCTCGACCAAAGGTGTTTTAAATGGAGCCTACATGATAAAGAAACCCCACCACTCACTATGAAGATCAAGAAGGCGAGAGAGAGAGAGAGAGAGATTTGTAAATGCGTACAGATATATACATTCTTGTTCTAAACTTTATCCTGAGAATCGATCTTAAAACAGTCCCAACACAAAAGAAACTTTGGAATTTTAAAGTTCTAACAAAGAATGAGAAAAAGAACATTACCTAGTGATATAGCCACAATGCCATTCATGTGATATTGGGATGTATATAGAAAATCAAGCATATCCTTCTCTTTCTCCTCAGATAAATCCCTTTTAGCTTTGAGGAGGAAAATGTGTTCTACAACCTTTCTAGAATTATACAAAAATGGCAAGAGAACGTTATTCGAGGAAAGAGGCACACTGTACCAAAATAAAGAGTACCAAGTTAATGATAATGTTCTATAAACTACAACCAAGAAATAAACTAGCCAAGAAAAACTAGTGTTTTAAAGCAAGTGCCCGGGTCATGACTCGCGAGGATCTTAAGACTGAGTCAGTCACCTCGACTTGGCTGAGTCTGTCAGAGACTTAGTTGAGTCTTAAATAATTAACAATGAATCTTGGAAACCAGTGAGACATATGGACTCCACAGCATGCTGAGTCAAGTAACTGTGGCGAATCTGAGTAAGTCGGACTCGTCCAAGTTCAGACTTGCTAAGCTGGGAGAAACTAAGGGCAAGAAATACAGACTGAAAAGGTCTATGGGATTTTAATTACCGTGCCCAGAAAAAAGACTTATGTTATCACAATATTGTCCTGACAACATTGACTGGTTTATAATGTCATTCATAACCCACCAATTAAGGAATACATATCAGTATATTCCATATTCTCAAATATTATTGAAGAGATAAAATCTGTTACTTCAGGACTAACTCTGCATGTCCTCTGTACATGTAAGCCCGCAATTTGATTAAAATTTAAATGTGGTATGATTAAATTGACCTCAATAGCCCCTTAAAGGAAAAATATAAATAAAAAACAAAGAAATGCAAATTATACTCAAATAAGCTTAAATTTAACCCGTCATAAAACAAATAAAATTTTAAAAATAATAATAATAATAAATAAATAAATAAAACTGCCATTTTATCATTTAGTCTTAACTTTTTCCTTCACAAAATTCCAATTTAAGCTGATATTCAGGCCAAAGTCCAGAATTATGGAATCCAAAAACATATAATGACATATGTAAGTAAGCTGGCGTGATTCAAATTTCAAACTAGCAAATGAAGGGCACCTTTTTCTGGATAATCCGCCATTTGTATCAGGTTCTAGGGCTGGAATTCGACCATTTGTAGCCCTAACTAATTTTTTATTGCAAATCTTTGGCAGTGAAGCACCCTCGCCATTAATCCCTGGAAATTTTCATGAAATACTGAAAAAATGATCAATAAATGGATTACATAGATTTAACCTCGAAAGAGCAAGAACAATGAAGAAAGCACGCAAAATTACCTGGTTTATTTCTGAGAATGGTCTTTCTTTCTCGAATTCGAAGGGTAATATTTTGGAATTTAAACCCCCTAGATTTGATAATGTGGCAAGAAACAAGCGTTTGGGAGTGACCCGAGATTAGGGGTTGTGAATATTTAGGGAATAGCATTTTGTGATTGAGTTGCAGAAGCTACTCCCCCCGCAAATTAGGGCTTCATCCTCCATTAAAGCCCTGGATAAATAACAAATAAAAATGAAGTAAATGAGAAACAGATAAAAAAAGGGAGACAAAGGGGAAATTTTGAAATTTTTAAAAAAAATTATTGGACAGGGGGCTTTGAAATAAAAAAAACATGAAATAAATTAGCGGGAAAAAAGAGCGCGGTAAATGGTTGAATATGACGACAATACCCTCAAATATTTTATATAAGGAAAATGGTTTGATAGGGCTGCAGCCCTATCAAAACAAATAAATCCTCGCCTCATAATTCTTTGTAGGGTGAGGTAAGGCGAACCTTCTACTATTGAAGTAAGGTTCACCTCAAAACCATCCCAAACATGCAATTTTGGTGCGGCAAAGCCTTACGATGATATGAAAATCTATTGTTGCCCCCAATTATGAAATTTAAATTTTCAAAAATAGCAACGATCAAGCAGATCTATAAATACTGTAAACTCTTAAAAATTGACAGTCCAGATAATATATTTATAAAAATAAACAATTTTTAATATTAAAAATTTTGTTTCTTTCACGTTTATGAATCTCGAGGTCGAAACGATCGATTTGAGAGTTTTCTAGCATAGAAAACTTTCTCTAGTAGATAAACCTTACTCGTACAATAGAAGGTTGACACCTTATATAAACTTTACCCTTCATTGAAAATTGCAATTAAGTATTGGAAACTCGTAATTCATTGAAATTTGCAAATAAAGTATTGGAAAACTTTATATCCATAATCCATGCTTGAACATCATGGTTGTGAGAAAAAAATAGGATTTTAAGATCCAAAAATAGTGTATAACAAAATATCTAGGCCATTTATTTTGTGCCTAAAAATAAGTGTTTGCATAACCACAAGATCTAAAACATTTTTTGAGTTTCAATTTTATTTGTCAGCTTTGGAAATTGATTATAGAGCCATTATATACATTTTCGTTGCCGAAAGTGCTTCTTAGATAACGATTTGAGATACAGCTTTATTTCGTTTTCGTAAAGCCTAGGGCTTGTAGGTACTTCATCCTTTGTATAATAGCAAATGAAGCCTCCTTTTGAACCCTTGTTTTTGTGATTCTAAGAGGGGGATGGATATTTTAGGTCAACCCTGGGAATTGAATTGAGGCGTAGCCGTAGCACTAACACCGTTTGTTAACCATGTTAAAATTGAACTAATGTTCGACTAGCTATGGTCAGTCAAACTAGTTAATTTTTAGCCAATTTGACCAGATCAATAAATTTGTTATAATTATTACTATATTGTGTATTTTAAATTAGAGTAACGATCCTATAGGACCCTCTCGTATTCATGTGTGTAGGATCTCAAAATATCATTATTAAAGTTGGTATAAATATCTAAAAAAATTATCAAATACGTGTGGGACTTGACTTTTCTATAGATCCGTACTAAATTTAATGATGATCATTTAGGGTCTTACACACATGGATGGGAGAAAGTCCTATAGGATCGTTTTATCTTTAAACTATTATATTTTTTTGAATACATAGGTAGGAGAAGGTCATATAGGATCATTTCTCTTTAAACTATTCTATTTTTAATTTTTTCTAAAATCACGTCCAACCAGTTCTATCAGTGATTGGGCCATTTTTAATGGGGCCAAACCCTTGACCAGTTCAATAGTTTGCCTGATCCTTCTAATGTTTTGCAAACCACTTGTGCCCGATACCGATTCTTAGAAGGGTATCGGTTGCAATATGTGATTTTGATGTCTTTTACGAAATTCTTATGGGTTCCAATTTCGATGTTTTTCATAGAAACATGATAGATTTAGAAATCTCCCCATTCTACCTAGGTTTTTAGTATATTTTTTAATTTTGTATAGAATTGTTATTTTTGGGTGAGTTAGTGGAGAGAGAGCCTCCACCCTTGATAGGAATTGAGCCTACGATGTAGTGTCATAAATTGTCAAACGCTAACCGATTAAACCTGAGCTCTTTCCCTTACAATGGAAAGCTTCGAGTCACCGAATAACTATTTGCAGTTCCAATAAATGGTTTAGATCCGATGCCATGTGAAAATATTAAAAGAATTGTGAAAAAATGAAATAAATTATTTTTTAATTTAAATATTTCCTTACTTTTTCATATACATGGTCATTTTGGTCAAGATGGATCCTTTGAAATTTTGGATCCAAAATGTATCTATGTGTTGCCTTAATGCACCAAAGCCTCACCCTTTAGGAGGCAGGCAACATGACCATTTGCTTTTTGTACAAAAGGGTTGGAATCACCCATGGATATGAAGAAATCATAATTATCCATATTACACCCGAGATCCTTAGGAGCATGTTGTACGTATCGATGAAAGTTAGACCTGGATCCGACCGGACGTAGTTTGAGTCGAGACAAATTAACCTATATCCAACCCGATGGGATCCGGGTCTATAACCAAATACATATAAATTATTTTAAATATCGGTCCCTAGGCAGGAAAGACTCGGCTTCCAAACCATACATGGAGCTTTCGCCTCATACAGCTCCTCCCAAGATGGCAGTTGGCCCAGTCCAGTCTTGTGCGGTTATATAATTAATATTATTAATAGACAACTTATATTAATATATTCGGGTCGGGTTGGATTGGCCTCCATCTGTACCGGACCCAACCTGATAGGATCCAAGCTAGACTCAGACTCAGACCCGGTTGGATCAAGGTCAAGTGGCCCCAACCCCTAATTGGACACTAAAAACTCAAAACAAGAGGGAGATAGTTTTTGTCCCATTTTTTTCTCATGTGTGGGGATATCTTATTGTGCGATGTTGGCTTGTTACTAAGTGGCCCTTGGATCTTTGTAAAAAGATGGGCAAGAATTCAATGCATCCCCTAAAGCATAAAACTTATATACTACCCCAAAAAGGTTTTTTTAGTAACTTTTACCCTAAATTGAGCTTTTCTAGTAAATATTGGGTATGTAACCTACGGAATCTAACGACCAAACCTCGATTAGACTCACATAGTGTAGGAGTAAAAATTAGGAAAAACTGCAAAAAAACCCCTAAAAGGAGGTTTCATAGGGAACCTACCACCAAAAAGGTTTTTTTAGCAACTTTTCCCCTAAATTGAGCTTGTCTAGTAAATATCCCCCCGAAAAAATGTTCATAGTGGCGGACCGCCCTCATTTTGTGCCAGACCACATGCTCAAAGTGCCGGACGGCCTCCATTTTGTGCCGGACCACATGCCCAAAGTGTCGGACAGCCCCCATTTTGTGTCTGACTGCATGCTCAAAGTGTTGGACTGCCCTTATTTTGAGCCAGACCGGCACCATTTTGTACTGGATCACATGCTTTCCAGAGGGTATTTTGGTATTCATTTTACTTTTTATATAACTTGGGGGGTATTTGTTATGAAAGCTATTTTTTGAGTAAAAAATGAAAAAAAAAGTTTACTTGGGAGTAAATTGCATAGGAAATATATTCTTAGGGGTTATTTGTAATTGTATGCAAAAATTAATGTCTTGGACCTTTAAGTTATGGGACAATTAGATGTAAGTGTTCTAAACCTCAAAATTTTATTATTTACGTAATAGTCATTTGATATTTGTTGGATCCCATGGTTTTAAATTGGAAAATTCCTCTTAAAGCATAGTTATCAAGACGGGAATGAATTGATGGTCCGATTGGTTAGACCATCGACTGGTACTTCAGTAGGTTTGGTCTTAAGATAAAAATAAGATTTGTTAAAAAAATTTGTCAAAATTAATGGTCGACCAGTTTTAGCCAATAGTCGAGCCGATATTGACCATTTTGACCAATTAAATGAAGTTGGGCAACGTTTTTAAGGGATTGTATATAAAAATATTATTTACTTTTGTTATAAGAATGTCACAATCATTCCTACTCATTAGATGTCAAATTGAATAATTTTGGGTGAGTCACAAAGCTCGAAATTTTTTATTGAAACTTCGAACCTATCTGATGGCACTCTTACCACCACCTATTTTTAAATATAAGGTACAAGAGCGATTGTTGCATCATTGTATAAATGGTATTTTTGTATACTTCTATAATTTTTAATTACATTTTATTTGTTAAAATTATTATATATCATTTTTTTAATCTATTTAAAATCTAACACAATTGAGTCGACCTATAGTTAGGCTCGGGTTTCACAAAACCAGCCCTCACCAGTTTGGCAGCTAATCATATATCGACGACACCGCCTCAAAGTACCTCTTTAGCTTAAGAGAGACAACATGCTCCTACAAAAATGTAGTATACACAATGGTGGTGGGTTGACAATTGGCCAGGGTCCAACCAGCTGACCGATCGCACCGGTTGGACCAGACCAGACGAATAAGTTCACTGGTTCGATCACGAGGGCCGCCCTCATGAAGCGTTTGGATGTTGAATCCCAACGGTCGATTCGGGATATCGATGAAGGGTGAGTGGATGAAGAGGCGAAATAACACTTTCAAACTTAACCATCTCCTTTGACTGCAACAACTAAATCTGAGCCGTCCGTTGGGAAAAGGCGCAAAAAAGTTGAAACCAAACAGGAGAGGACAACCGTCCAATGTTGAGGACACGTGTCAGGCACCCATCGCTATTCAACTAAAACCGAGAAACGGACATTAGAGTCCATATGAAATGCCTAAAAGTACCCTTGTCATTTATAGCAATGCCAAAATAAGCCATGCCAAAAATTGGTTCATTATGCGATTGAAATTCTAGTATTAAATAATATTGGTCATCTCGACATCAAGATGCATGGACATGAGAAAAAAATTGATTTTGAGTTTCGAAAATAGTGCATCTTGTAACAAATTTTTTAACCGTCAATTTTAAAGTCTTTATAGATCTGCTAGACTTACATTATTTTTTAAGCTTTAAATTTTGTAATTGAAGATGAAAATGTATTTTAAGGTTATCACAAAGATTTCCAACACTTCTTGACACTATTTGAAGGTGCTTTCTATTTTGATTATTTAGAGCCTCAAATCTATACAAACTGCACCCTTAAAATAATATATTTTATATTTTATATATATGTCATTTATTTTTCCTTTTTTGTTTTACAACATACTCCCAGTTTCGAACCGGTATTAAAGCGCCCGTTTGCTCTAAAACTATGATAAAAATTGGTATTTTTAAACTTGTGATTTTTTATCCTAATTATCTATTTAGATGGGAATCAGTCAAGATCAAATTAGTTATAAGATGATATAGATCTATATAATCCAAACCATTGATATGGATTTACAAACAATGATAAAAGTATCAATTTAATAGTAGAAGTTCGAATTAGTTATAAAGAACTGTACTAGTTACGTACAGAAAATATCGATTTAATAGTAGAAGTTCGAATTAGTTATAAAGAACTGTTCTAGTTACGTACAAAGGGTGTCTTTTGGGGAAAAAAGTAAACAAAATATATGCTTACAATATAAAAATTCCAAAATATTACATTAAATTGATTTAAATGTCCTTCATTATTATTTGTTTTTAGCCTAAAAAACACATTTTCGAAATAAGCCGCTCAAAATATTTATTTTTTTCAATGGAAAGTTTATCGAAATACTCATTTTCAACCGGTGCTCTAAAACTCAATATTTTGCTCATTTTCAACCAGTGCTCTAAAACTCGATAAGGTTCTTGAACCTCGATTTGTGTGGGGAATTAGTAAAAGAAAAAGTATATAAATAGGATTAATTATTCAATACTTTACTCATTTTCAACCAGTGCTCTAAAACTCAATGATGTTCTTGAACCTCGATTTGCACGAGGAACTAGTAAAAAAAACCCCCTTATTTATGTACTTTTTTTTTTTAAGCTCATCTATGTTTTTCTTACATACCACAAATTTCCATCCCATAGGCTACTATTTTAATTTTTAAATCAATTATAATATTTTTATAGATCATCAATTCAAGCCGGCCGAAATGGTTTGGATCGTCGGTCCAACGATCCGAGACAAATCAATTGGTTTAATGATCCACCCTACTTGTCCTGATTTTGAAACACTGTTATATATTTTTATCAGATGGTTTGAAATCGAATCAAACTATATAAAAATATGAAATTCTTTACCTTTGGTAGATCTAAAATGATGTAGTTTAAAGTGATCGCAAAAATATACAGGGACTAATAGCATTATTGATAAATTAGCCTTTGATAGATCATACTAACTTATCAAGATTTGTGTAGCAACCCAAAATATTTGAAAAAAAACTTAGAGGATGATGTTAATAATATCCAAATATATAGGATGACGACATATCAAGATTCGATTCAAAATAGTTAATATAAATCCGTGATGATGAAATTAACGATATCAGCATGTACAGGCGTGGGAGTAACCATCTCCGTTTCACTAGTTATTGGCCCTCGTTTTTTCGACTTGACAATGCGGAGACACAATTTGGCATGCGTAAGGGTAATTCTGTCATTTTATCCTCTCCTACATGCGCCCTAGGAATCTGTCCTAGATAACATGGTCCACTCCTCTATTCTGTTCATTGTCTTTTTTACTCGCACGAGTGCTCGATTGCCCATAACTTTCAGTTAAAGGACAATTCTACTACGCTGTCCCAAACAAAGATAAAAATGCCCATAACTATACATGCTCCTTTTTAAGATTCCCTTATTAAGTGCATTACTATATTTTCCAAAAATATAACAATTTTACCAACATATCTCCATCCACTCTTTCCAAAAGATTATATTACTCGACTATTTAATGAGTCATATTTTTAAAACCTATTTTAGAAATGGATTTCTAGATTCAAAATTTTATATAATGAAAATCTCTGTCATAATAAGTAGGAACCTTAAAAATATAGATGTATATAATAGCTTTTTTTTTACATAGTTTAACACCGTTGATTTTAAACGCCGCCGTTTCCTAACATCCATCTAGGGAATGCTGTTGTGCGTCTCGAGATAGATGTTACATGCATCAATGCACACTATTTCAAGGGTGCAACCTTATATAAGTTTTTCCGATTTCTACATTATATGTTTTTCCGATTTCTACATTATATGTTCCTAAAGAGGATAATGTCCATTCACTCTCCCTTGGTAAAACCCTATGGCTCTGTTGGCTCGGCCCGTTGTGACTCCTAATCGGAGTGTGCTATTACTCTATACAAAATCTAATAAAAAATTAAGGAGATCTCACTTGGGGCTAGTAATACCAGTCTAGCCCATTGATTTCGCATATAATGGCTAAAATTAATAATGAGATTATTTTGTCATTCTTGATTAGACACCCCCATGCTTGTTTTCACATTTGACGACCAAGTGTAGGTTGCTAACAAGCCCAACTTAGAGTGGGTCAGCCTTGGCACTAGTCCCCATAGGGCTAGCTCAAGGCTAGCTTGGCCTAACTCGGGTTAGGCTGAATAGGTTTGGCCCTAGCCCTACCAAGACCATACCAAATACAAATAAATAAAAATAAAATAAAATCGTTTGGACTAGGGCCAGATAAGGCTAGACCAAACACAATTAAAGAAAAATGCCAGGGTAGGTTAGCACTATCGTGACCTAACTAGGGTTAGCCTTTAAGCCACTTTTTGTGGCCCAAGTATTAGTTTTTTAGGGCTGGGCTTGGCCGAGCCAACCTGTTGCTCGTTGCCATCCTTGGCTACAAGCATCATATACTTAGTAATTATTAAAAAGTGAATTGGTTTATCATATACTCTCACTGTCGTAAAACTATATTGTCACATTCATTATCCTATTCATTAATTACTATCGGGGAATGTATACTACCAGATTGCAAACATTTGGTATAAAAAAGTCACAATCCCCCCAACCATCAGATGTGAAATCAGACGGCTGATGGTGTACAACACAGTCCAAAAAAGCCACTAAGGTAAGCCAATAGCACCACAACATTTTCACACTTGGCTTATGCCACAAGTGACTCTCTATTACCTATTTCTAGCAAAAGTAAATGACCTTCCTTGTTAATCAATTATGTGCTCATTTGGCATATTTAAGTATTTGAGTGCACAATTGTGAATTTTTTGCCATATTCTCTTCTTCTCCTAGCTTTTTTTTTTTTATTATCCATTTAACCAGAAAAAGAGAAAATTTATTAGCAATGCCTAAAAGAACTATTCCACAACTTACATATTATTTCATTAAAAAAATGGGTCAAAGTTTAAATTGGAAATAGTGGATATTTTTAGGTGTATTTTGATTAAATTGGAAAATATGTAATACTTTAAAATTTGAGTGTGATAAATTTCCCAAAAAGAACCTAGCAAAATAGGAAAAAAAAAGTATTTTGACTAAAGTTAAGGGCAATTTTGGTAGTACACTCACTTATCTTTATCAGTCCACTGACACTCGTATAGATATATAGTAGTCAAGCCACTGCTTATAAAGGTACTCTGTAATTTAGCTGAAAAACTCGCCGGGCAATTCACCGAAGAATAATTCCCGGCAAAAATGGACGGCGTAAATTCGACGAACTGGCTACCGGACGGCTGGATCATGGAGCAAAAACGGAGAAAATCCGGCGCTACGAAAGGATTGGCAGATAAGGCAAATAAAAAGCTCTTAAAATATCACATGCATGATAATTAATTTCCCTTTCTTTATTTTTTTATTTTTTTTACTTTTTTGTTGATATGATTTGTGATTTGTTTGTTCAGATCAAAAGGGATTTGGTATTGATTTTTTGTGGCTTGGATGTCTTATTTATTTATTTTTCCTCATGGAATTTATTTAATTTTTTTTAGTTGAAGCTCACTTCAATAGTGGAAATTACAGTAAATTTCAGCTGAAATTTGGATCTAGTGTCATGAATAAGAATCAGATTTGATCTCATATTTTGACTGAAATGCTCAGTGATTATCGTTGAATTTCTTATATAAAATTATGAAGTATTCATGAGTTTTTTATAGCAAGTTTTTTAATCTGAAGCATAATTACAAGCTTGATATTATTATTATTTTATTTTATTGGTAATTTAGAGATAAACAGCAAGGAGAAAATCTGAAAAACCAAGTAAAAATACTAAGTTAAATTTATTTTTAATTTTTTTCTTTAAATTTTTGCAGAAGTTAAATGATATTAGGCACCGGTGTCTAGTTTAAATCTTAAAGCTTGAAATGGTAGTTGATTTCAGTTACACCCCCATTTTCAGCTGAAATCAGTGAAATATTGTTTATTTTGCAAATTTATTGAAAGTTGTTTCTTTTTTATTTTTATTGTATCTCTGTAGAATTATGGGTTCATTTTGAACTGTATTTTTCTGCATGGTACAATTCTTTGGTGTTTCTTTCGGCTATCAGAGAAATTCTATTGAAATTAGCTTTAGGGCGCCCAATGGGTATCTTGGAATATAAGTGTGAGAGTGTTCATGAAATATTAGGCAAGTATATTTCAATTTTGGAAATTTTTGGGTGGACATCATCAATTTACTTTTTATACTTATCAGGATTTTATATATTGGGATTTCTCATGGGGAATCATCTTTTAAATTTTGTTTCAAATCACCATGTTTTCATACTTTTAGTCCACAACAATGGTGGACATTCCACAAGCTCCGAGATTATGTTTTAACTATTAGCTATTACAATGTTGTATTTATTTATTTATTTTTTGTGCGGAATGAAACCAAAGAGCATAATTTCAAATTTATGACTAATTTTAAACTTCAATCGAAATTAAATTGAAAGTTGTGAGGATTTCTATGATTTTTTTGAGGGAAAGGTTGTCATAAAGATTTTCTCAACTGTGTTCCAAATTACTGTAGGTCCAAATTAAAACTCTAAACTTGAATTTGCCTATCTCATTGGACACTAAAACTTTGAATTATTATATATGACTTTTGCAATGCCCATGCATTATTAGAAGGGCTTTTGAAGAGCTTTGACTGATGCATGTCAAACATTTATACCAAATAGACCTGGTTCCTATAACATTCGCTCTCAATGTCTAGGCCTTTTTTGTTTGTCAAAATTATGGAAACTTTGTTGTCACTGGGTGTGAATCCAATTATCAATGAAAAATGATTCTAGTAAAAGCCAAATTAATATACCTAGTGTTAACAACACACTCAGTTCATCCTACTTTTTTTTTTTTTTGAAAATGTTTTCGGTGTTTGGCATGGCGCCCAGGCAGAAGTTGATCCCACTTTTCTAAAAAAACCAATATTATATGGTAATTTTTTGCCGACTTTCATTATCTCTTTAGCGAGCCTTAGCTGTAGCCTATAATTCATGGAAGCTATAATATTTTTGCAATACCCAATATGCTTATTGGAGTTTACACATACTGTTGATAGAGATAGTTAAAATGAAGGAGAAGAAAAGCCGAACTTGCACTTTGGATCTTCGATTTCATAGTTAACTTGACAAGGCTATAAAGGAATGGTTTTTTTTATAAGCTACTTGTTGCTTAGATTTAATTATCTCCTTTTCTTTAGAATTTAAAATTTCTCAATTGGTTGTTCTACATTTGTGTGTGGGTACAAGTAGCATTTAAATATCCATACAAGTCTTTGATTTAGTTACCTGTTTGTGTAATTTTTTCTTGTGAGAGATATTTTATCCAAAAACCATTGTCAACCAGTTACCCGAACTTCTCAAGGCCTTTTCATCCAACTATTCCTCCTGCATATCCTGTACTTTATATAATTGGTCTCTTTATTGAAGTTGGAGGATATAAAATTTTATTTAAAACTGGATGAAACTTCCATATTTTCTATTCCATTAATTTCTTCTCGTCCATTAATTATATTACATTTTTTCAATTTTAAAGGCAAGGATAGGTATTGAGTTTGTCGCTTTCCAATTCTGAATGCATTTTAAGAAGTTAGATCATTAATTTATGAAGCTTCTTGGCATCATACTTAGAAAGGGAAGGCTTCATTTCTTACAAATTATCAGAGTTTTTAGTGGAATTAGAAAAACACCAAATATTGAAACCTCTAATAATTTGAAACCCATGGGTTAAAACTTAAAACTTCTTGGTGCCACTAACTTACGTATTTGCTCTTAAATTTGGAAACCTGCTCTTTCAGCTGAAATGGCAATTAAAATTTGGACTTGTAAATTTGTTGGTATTTTATCACCATTTACCAAAATTTTAAGACTAAGTATTGTTCTTCTAAATGTGGTGCAGTATTTCATTGAAGCAGCAACTGGGCGATTTTTTCGATCCAAGTTGCAGGTCCTACGCTACCTCAAGACTGAAAAGTACACTGGCAAGCTTTGGCCGGTTAAGCTTGTTTCTAACAACAAGGAGCTGACAAATGGAGAGTCCATGGTTTGTCAATAACTTCTTTTTCGAATTTTTAACCCTTTATCAAGTGCTCTCTCTCTCTCTCTCTCTCTCGCCTAAATCATTTACAGGTTCACTTACGAAGCCAATTTGTTGGGTTTTAGGAGAAAGAGACTTCTAGTGCCAAGATATTGCAGGAAAAGGTACAGAGAACTTTAAGCCCATCTGAAAGTGGGCAGTCATCAGATTGGTTGCCTCCAGGTTGGACAATAGAGATCAAAACCAGAAAAAATGGAGTGTCAGCTGGAATGCGGGAAAAGGTACACAAAAAAATAACATATGAATTTCCATCAAATATGTTGTTTTTCCATTTTTGCTTTCTTTAATTATTAAAACAAAAAAGTTTTCCCTCTTCATGTTACCTTCGATGCGACCTTCAATGTGTTGGATTGATTTCAATCTCTCTTCATTCTTAGGATTTTCAGATTTGAGTTGTGGTTAAAGTTAACTACAGCTCTCATGAAATGATCTTTGGACATTGGGTCAAAAGTTGAAAAGTCAGCTGTTTTGGCTAGGCTTCATCAGTTGCTTATTTGGATTACCAAAAGACTGGATTTGACCCCAAACGTTCAGGCTTTGGCAGTGGCTGGGCATGTTAGAGTTAAAACTTAGATTACTTCAGAATGAGAAGTTACAGGGGTTTCGCCTCATGGCTCAATGGCGGTCCATGAGGGCTGCAACTGTAATATCTAAGGTTTGAATCCCAGCTCCAAGCAGTATTCGTTTAGTCAATTTGCTTGCCTTTTCACATTCAGTGTGATGTTTTAAGGAAACAATTCTACTCACTGACAAAGTGGAGAGAAGGTATACTTGTTTCCCAATATAGGATGAAAACTCAATGTGGTTTTTCTTCATCTTCTCTTGTGATCCTCCTCTTGATTTGAGTACATTCATTTAGAGCTTAAATGAATGTAGTATGACATATTTAGAGCTCAAATGAATGTAGTATTAAATTATACTTACATATTTAGAGCTCAAATGGATGTAGTATGAGGAAAATAAGATCTCTTCCTTATGAATCTAATATTGCTCCTTTAAACTTTACTTTCATCCTCCTTTTTCCTTTGCCTTTTTTGGGGCTACACAACCTGGGTATATCTTATTCTTATCAGTTTCCAATGAAACTGAATTCTGGAACAAAATTTATATGAAACTGAATTATGCATTTAGCTAAATGAGTAAAAAAAGACTTGTGGAGATCAATAAAGACATCTTCGATATTCTAAAGCAAATGCTACATTTTTTGGAAAAAAAGTGAGATCTTCCTATTTATTTCAATCTTTGTAGAAATCAGATCTCTGATGCTTAACATATTGATCTCTTCCTGTAGCCCCATTGAGACTCGGCAAAAATATATGAAGCGTTTCAAATTTTGGATATGTGAAATGTTTTGAACTAAGGATCATGCCTTGTGAACTTTGTGCAGTTTTATATAGAACTTGCAACTGGAAAGAAATTTGCTTCAAGGTTGGCAGTTCTACGCTACCTCACAGATGGAAATGCATCTGTTAGCACGCCTAGAACAAATATGCTTGACACTGGAAATGTTCATTTGACTGCAAAAGAATATGAGGTGAGTCTATAACTTGTTCTTTCCTCATGGGCCTTTTTTTCTTTTTTTTGTGTGCATGTGCATATAGTGTGTATGTGTGTGTGTGTGTGTGTGTGTGAGAGAGAGAGAGAGAGAGAGAGAGAGAGAGAGAGAGGTAGGTTAGGTTAGTAGGTAGTAGTTAGGTAGGTGTTGTTCGTTACTTACTGTTGGTAGGTAGGTTTAGTTTACTAAGTTTAAGTTTAAGTTTAGGTTAGTAGACGTCGTGAGAAGAAGGAAGGTACGGTTC